GGACTCTGGATTCCTCCCTGGGCCCCACCCTCTAGCAATGGCCTGCTCCGGCTTTGACCCCCATGGCCAAGATCTGGAGGCATTCTCGATGTAGTCCTTTCTCTTACCTCCCCACCCAAGTGCTCCTGGCTTCCTTTCCTAGTCCCATCTCCAGATTAACCATTTGTTTGCCTCTCCCCCACGGATACCCGGGTCAGCACCATCAGTTCTCTCACAAACGATGGAGCAGCTCCTACTTCTGCTCTTCCTGCCATGGCCATTCATCTTCTACAAAGCAGCCAGGGTTTCAACATAAATCAAATCATGGCGTGTCCCTGCTTAAAAGCCAACGATTCCCTTTTCTTTTTTCTTTTTCTTAGGCTAAAACCAAACTCTCTCCCTTGGTCTACATGATCTGACCTCTTCCCACTCCTTCATCTTCATCTACTGCCTTATTCTTTACCCAGAGTCATAGTCTGCAAGCTCTTTCAGACCATAAAGCTCTTTCCACCTCCAACCCTTTGCACATCTGCTGGAACCATCTCCTGGGTGGTCCATATCCTGGCAGAGACACCTCCTGGCCCTCCTCCTTTCAGAGCCAACATAACACTCATTTCCTTGGAGAGATGCTCTATGAACAATCTTCTGGAAGTAGTTCCTTTGGTTAATCTCAATATCTTTCTGTCTTCCATGAAAGCAATGATTAAAAATGTATAACGATTCCACTCATATTTTTAATTCTATGTGATCTGTTTTCCTCAACCAGATTGTAAGATTCACAGAGTAGCAATCACATCTTCTTCATCATTGCTTTCTCACTATCTAAACAAGAATTTAGCCATTTGATGCAGGAATGGATGAGGAAGTAAAAATGATTGACTGGATGAGTAAATAAATGAAAGAGAAGTCTCAGTATACAATGGCAGGGAGAGGAGATGCTTAGTCATAGGAGGTTTAGGCTGAATTAAAAGCAGGAGGGGTAAAGGAAAGCCTCCACTCTGCAGACAAGCCAGGACTTTGGTGGAGAGGACTAAGAACCCTGGCTTTTACCGAGACTTCCTTCACAGCCACTGGATTCCTCTTGCCCCAGGGCAAGCGCAGGCCCAGTGTCTAGACCCTGTCTACGAAGGGAAAGAAAGAAAGCATCAACTTTCAGGCCACAATAACACACACTTCGTCCCAGTTCTCCCTGTAGGGAGGCACACAGGGGGTTCCCAGCCTCTAGCACTGCTCCCAGGTGCGCAAAACCCATTTCGGGCCAAGCGCTCTGTGCCACACGCTTGCCCTCGGTCACATGGGCCACGTGCTGGTGGCACGGAGCTACCATTTTTCATTTTGAACAGGATGCATCTACTGGCATGACAGCCCCATGCCAATACTTGTTAATGCCCACACCTGTATTTTAAGGGACCAGGACCGAAAAATTTGCATGTGTTTTCAATCTAAAATGACGTTTTCCTTTCTAGTGATTTAAGAAATAAAAATGACCTTGTTTTCTATGTCTACCCAATTATGAGAGTTCACAGTGAAAGCTGGAACGTTCAAATGTCAAGGCCTACGCGGCACTAGGTCTCACAAATGACTTGGTTTGGTCCCTCACTGCCCCACCTCATAAATGTTCATCACCAAGGTGCTTTTGGGGGGCCAAGGAAAGTGCTTCCATTCAGTGGTCATGAAGAGTTATTTGTTCACACAAATAATCCCCACTCAAGTGGATTTTCCCAAATTAAAGTCATGGAGAATTAAATATCTGCTTTCCCATATTTTGCAAAGCAAGACAGAAAAGGCAGTGAGGGTTCCAGGATCACATCACCCCCCCCACCCACCCACACACACACACACACACACACACTCAGAAGTCGGGGGCAGAGGACAGTGTTTGAATATGCATCTCAGGGAGGCCCAAGAGGGCAACAACATGCCGGAAATGTGATCCTCTGGGCTCTCTGTAGGAAAATCATGACAGTAAGCAGGCCAGAGGTCAATTCCAGCCTTCAGAAAAGAGAAGTAGGGATGAGCCAACAGGGCGGGGAATAGAGAGAATTTGGAGATAGATTATATGGTGGGTCCACGCAGCACCGACTATGTAATTAAGAGGACCCAGTGCAAAATGAGATTGTCGGCCCCCTTGGTCAAACATTAAGAATTTCACAGCGGTGACAGTTTCACAGCAGTGATCTTGCTGCCTCTCTGAGCTGGGGTTCTGTGGACTACATGGGTGACACGCAGATAACGCCCAGGTGGGGTGTGAGGATGGGGTGGGGGAGGGAGGCCAGCTCTAGGGGCTGTCAGAGCTCGTTAGAAAAGCAAACTTTCCCCAGTCCACTTTGCTCTCGGAAAACAGCACTCCCAATGATCACAGTGAGAGAAATAAATCATGTCTCAGCCCCAAGTGGCAAAAAGGGGAAGGGCTGGCAGAGTGGCTACACTAATTCCGATTTGTTGTCATTTTTGGAGCTACTTTTCCTAAATTATGATTCATGTTAGCACCAAAACACCAGCTACTTCAGATACTATTATAAGTATATTGCTGATGCTTGAGCAAAGTAACGTCTTATAATGTTTCTTTTATAAGGGCCATAAATCACAATATTCAAAACAGTGAATTTTTAATGTGCCACTATTATCCATCCTCAGCTGTGAATGTGACGTCTCCTCGGGCCCCACAGATTGTAATGTGACTCAGAACGCACAGCGGCTGTTCAAAATAGAAGGTTCCCCAGCATCTCATTACTTCAATCCCTCAGATACGGTTTTAAAAGCCCGAAGTTATCTGAGTAAACTTGTTTGAGGGAGCCATAAAGAAAGATAAGTAGTTTTCCTCAGAAGCCTATAAAGTTTATTACAACATATTTAAGGGGGATTACATATTGACTAATTGTCTGAAGACAGTAGTTTTCTGGGGCTCAGGGCGTTGGGGGAAGGAAATTCATGAGCAGAGCTAGGTCTCCTCTGGGCTTTGGCATGAGTTTCCCCCTGAGGATGACAGCCCAGGTCCCATCTCTGGGGATGGCAGGGTGGATGCATGAATCTTACGGAAGAGCAATAAAAATCTTTACGATTCAGGAAAGACAGAAATGCACCCTCACGCCCTAACCTCTGTGATGCAGAAGCAGCCGTGTCATAGAAATGCTGCAAGAAGGACCCACACTTCTCACTCCAACCCCCCAAACTCTAGAGCCTTCCTCTGCCTACCCCATCCATGCAGATTTTTAATATTACAAAACCTTTCCTTCCCATTTAATATTGTTTTAGGTCAATTTATTCTTTTAATTTATGTTTGTTTGTTTTTTTTATTGATTTCAGAGAGGAAAGGAGAAGGACACAGAGAGAGAAACACCAATGATGAGAGAGAATCATTGATTGGCTGCCTCCTGCATGGCCCCAATTGGGGATCCAGCCCACAATCCGGGCATGTGATCTGACCAGGAATGGAACCATAACCTACTGGTTCATAAGTTGACATTCAACCTCTGAGCCATGCCGGCTAAGCCAGTTTATCTTTTTATTAGCTTTTCTAGATGCGTAAACATGATATTTCTCTTAAAATTTTCCCTAGATACAGGGAGAATTTCTCTGGTTTCCCCAAGTATTCACACTGACAAGCTTTCCTTTGGAGCCACTTTGCATGGAAAAGACACAATTCTGGTACCATTCTCCCCTTCACCCGGGAAAAGGAGAAGCAAGGAAGAAGGTTCTATTGGTGGCAAAAAGATCCAGAAGGTGTTACATCTCTACTTCCCAGAAAGCTATTGTGCCTGCCTTTCCAGCCTTTCCTGGAGGACTGACTCATTGGTGGGACCTAAGATAGCTTCAAACCAAGCAATGAAACACACCCACAGACAAAACACAGCAGATTTGTTTTAAAACTCACCCCAAGCCCCACTATGAAACAGGGAGCAAGACTTACGGAAGGGACGCCTGTTAAGTAGAGGCAGAGAACTGCCTCTCTAATCTCAGACCCTGTGGTGCTCCAGCCCTGTGACAGTTCATGTTTGTCCCAGAAAACGAACTAACATTCAGTACTCTTTGACCATAAAAAGATTACCATGGCACACAGTCTATCATAGGTATACGCAACTCCAGGGAGCTGTGGCTTGGTGTTAAGCAGCCTGCTGTGTTCTGGAGAGATGTGAGTCCCAGCAGCAAATGTCACTAGAGTTCAATGTCCAGTTAATAACTGTGGCAATACATGCACCACCATTCCATTATAAGGCATATAGGACGGAAATAGCGGGTGGGTTCTTCACAGCTAAAAGCCAACCTTTAAAAGAGCAAAACATCCTAAAAAATGCAATGTGTGAAATTTATAATGCAGAGCTCCATAGAAGTGCAATTGTAAAGAGGCAACAGATGTGGCACTAATGAGACCTGTCAACATTAACATTAATATTTCTATTCTAATTCATTCAGAGAGGTCCAGTTACCCATCCACCATTACTATGCCTTGATCCTGGTGTCCTCTTCAGAAATGCCAGAGAAGAGGTAGCACAATCCATCAAATGGGCTTCTTAGAGATGACAATTTCAGATCCATAAAAATGTAGGTACTTTTGTTTCCATTATTCCTTGACAGACATTTCACACAAGCAGAGAGATGTGAGAGTCACACCACCCTGGCAGATCTGGCAAAAGCCAACAGTGCTGGAGAATTGTGACAATTTCTAAGCCCATGGTCACTCTTTTAAAAGGTGTGTACGGATTCTAGCAAGGGCAGAGTTTACATCTTAAGTAACACAGAAACATTGGAATCGTGCTTGACCCAGCCCCAACAAGGCAGAGCAATCACGTGGTTTCAGGGTGGCAGGGGGTGAGGGTGGGGTGGGTAGAAAGGAGAGGGCTCTCAGGGATGATCACAGAACACAGAAGCAAACACAGGGCACGGTCACAGACATAAGCAAGCATGATCAATCACGCACACAACACAACACAACACCAGAATGCAATCTTTTAAAGAAAAATGATATAAAAGATGGTTTCTCACCCCTCAAACAAAACTGGAACTTTGGTTTACAGGCCCGGCTATGCCCATATGCCCTCCTCGTCATCCTGCGGCCGGCCCGGGGAGGTGCACAGAGGGGGGGAGCACGGAATGAAAGAAGAGAAGGTTAGTTACACTGTGATGCTCTGGAAAAGCACACCAATCTTCACTTTACTTTTTTACATGAAAGCACCAGAAAAAAAAGAAAAGAAAAAAAAGAAAAAAAGAAAACACCCCATAGTAACTTCAGTTCCACATCACCGACTTGTCAAATACATAACTCAGTTTTGTATCTATGGCAACCCCCACACAAAAACATTCCGCCCACCCAGCTCTGACTCTGTGTCAAGATTGGATTAGGAGATTAAAATTAGTCTACATTAGCAGGTGATTATTTTTTGGGAAGGCACACCATCCGAATTGCATATGCCTAAGAAGCAGATTAAACCTGTTAAGTAAGCAGAGAAGTAATTACAAGCATCAAATACCCTTAATTTCTCCTAAGCATAAAGTATCAATAAAGGCTGGAGAAGAATTTTTTATTAAAAGAATCTACTTGAGTGGGACCACTTTGGTAGCATACGATAGTTCACACTGGCTCAGACCTGCTGGGGACTCCGTTCCTCAGGTTCTGTTTTGCTCTCAGCATGAAAGAGGATGTACACGCCACGGAATGATGATCCATTTGCAACCAAATAAGTTTCAAAGAGAACAGTATGCTTCCAATTCAGCACAATGCTTGCAGAAAGGCAATGGTATTTAACTTAAAACTGTATTCAACCGTGGATGAATGGAAACTTATTTGGTTTGAATTCTTGTTGTTGAAAACATTTCCAGAATGGCTCTGGCCACTTTCCCCACTTAGTGAAGTGGCAGATAGGCAGGGGAGTTTCATCTTTGAAGACAGAAGTGTATTCACAATAAGATCAGCATCACAAGCTCTATTTTGAACAAGAGTATTCACTGTTCCCTGCAGGATTGAGAGTTTAGATGACCCAGCGGTTAAACTGCTGTCCTGCATGTACTTTGGGGAGCTGTGTCTTTTAACAGGTCCCTGATGAAACCAGGTTTTGCCAGGGCATGCTTCTTGGTTTTAAAACCCTGGACTAGAAAAAAAAATAATTTGGAATATTTTCTCACTATTTGGAAACTTACTGCTTTGAATCATATGAAAATGCCAATATTTGGCCATTTCTCATCTAGAAAAACAGCAATTTCACACAGTTCAATCTAATCTTGCCAATAGGCAAAGGTATTGTGCATCTATTTAAATATTTAAATCTGTGGTCTTGAACTGAATTTAATATAATTTATTTCCTCTCTATTTCTTATTTTATTTTATGTATTTCAAAATATCACTTGAAGAAGAGGTCCAGAAAGTTCACCAGATTGCCAAAATGGTCAATGGACCATAAAGGGTTAAGAATCCCCACTTGATATGAGTCTATTAGGAGATTTGCACTCAGTCAGAACAGCATAATTTGCTATGGATTTGCACTGGACAATTTAGATAGGAATATTCTGGTAAAAAAAAAAAAAAAAAAGGTATAGTTGATAATTTTTGGCTGGATCTTCTCATTGACCTTGCTTGTCACTGTGCAGTCTAATAATAACTCTTGACCAAAAAAAATTCCCTTTTTTCTACATAACTTGAGAAAAGTGTGTTTTTACATTAATTAAATGTCCTTTCAGTTCCTGGAGAAAAGCAAAGTCAGTGTCCCTTTTTTATGCTAATGAAGAAGGGAAACTCTACAGCACCTACTAAAGGGTTGCCAGGGGTCTAGTAACCCCTTGAACTTCACTGCAGAACCTGTGGGGATGTGTGGAAGTGTAGTTCCCTGGGTGGAGGCTTTCATCACAAGGTTCCTGAGTCCGGGAGTTACTGCTGTAGGGAAATTTCAGGCCCAGAGAGATGCAGCCATTTGCCAAAGTCAGAAAAAGTCACACTTTCCCTCTAAGGCAGCCTGCAGCCTCTCCTGAAGGCTCCTCAAAGACTCTACATCGTTCTCCTTGCAGAGCAGTTCATTTCATTTTGCATTTAAAATCCAAGAGCATGTATACATTCAGTTTGTTTCAAATCCATCCCCACAGGGTATCAAATTTTTTTTAAAAAAAGAAGAAAGGAATGAAAGAGGAAAGCCACTGTCACCAAAATCGACCGCTATTTTCTTAACAGTGAAATGTGGTCGAATGCAAATCACTTTTAGCAAATTAAATACATTAAAAAGAGGTAATTAATTATGATTGAATGAGACAGGAGTTGTAGCTTGAAAATATACACTGCCAATATCACTACTGTGCCTCGTCCACCGTAGGGATAAAAAGGAGCTCCCAGATGTCGAGGTTATTAAAAACCAGATGTTGAGATCGACGTCTTGTACGCCAGTGAATAAAGTAAAGAAATATGACAGTCCAATATAAACTTTGCTAACATTTAACATGGCAGAAATGTGGATAAATTCCTTTACTGAACTTGCAATATTATGCTTTTTTCCCCCCTCAAGTTTTTAGTGCCTAAGGTTTAAAGTTTTTTTTTTGTTGTTTTTTTTTTTAAGAAAATACAAAGGGAAGCGGTGGCCATTTCTGCTCTCTCTAATCTTCAAAGCTTCAACGTGAATTGACCCTAATCACCGAGTCATCTGGGTCAGAGCGAGTGTCTGCTCGGGGAATAAAAAAGAAAACGCAGGAGCTAATCAGAGAGGAAGCACCAAGGGGTTCCAAATGCTCGCAGCTGTTAGACTCCTGCACGGCCTGCATCTAGGGATGAAATATTCATTCGCTCAGCAACCTTACGGTACAGAAATGTAAATTCGGGGACCAAAAATAAGAAACAGATAGGTATCGCTTGATCGCTAACTTTATGCCCAGGTGTCTAGCAGCACTTGGGGTTTTAAAGCGTTGCCCCAGGAGAGTCTGTCCCCTCTCCTCGCACTGGTTGCTCCAGATGCTGCCTGTGTCTGCTCTCTTGTGTGTCCTTCCTGAGTGACGGCTATGCCAGGAGCTGCCAGCATTTCCGGATGGAAAGAGAGCCTCTAGTCCATCAGTCATCCAAGCGCCTTTGTCCACAGCATCTGGGATGGAAACATCCAAGGTGGGCGGGAGCCCAGATCGCAGTGACCACACAACAGCAAATTTTGAAGAGAGAGGAAGCTTAACGATCAAATAACCTCCGGATGTGTATCTATGGCTCCAGAGGTGATATGAGGCCTTGATGGCCATCCTGCAGTCCCAAATGCTGGGCCCTAAAGGGATTCTCTAAATTCTGAGATAAAACAAAATTCCTCACCAGATGGGCCACTCAAGATCTAAGGGCAAAGGACTGAGTCATCACTGACAGGACAGGAGACTCACCATTAAGGGGAGCATTTATTAGCCCCAGGGGAAAAAAAAAAAAAAGCTCGGGAAGGAACTCTGTAATCTGGCACAATGAACAGCCTGGTGTAAACCTTTAAATGGTATCTATTTTGAAGCTTTAGGTGCAACCAGCAGGCAAGCCCCAGCCATCACTGGATATTTCAAAAAACAAAAAAACCACAACCACCCAAATACTCAAAACCTGGCAATTCTCTTTGACTTGATAGCCAGCCTTTTTCCCCCCTGAAATCAGAGGATGACATTCCTGTCGGGGACCTTACTGTGTCACACCTGTTCTATCTGGAAATGAGAGTGAAATGATGGCAGTATCAGCCCACTGCTCCTCTGAGAAGTCAGCCACTATTTCTGTCAGGAGGAGATGGGAAGAGATGCAAGGAGAGTGTCCTGGTTGTAACAAGGACAGTCACCTGGCCCACTCCTGCCCCCAGTTCAATTCAGGGCTTCTCTGACATTTCCTGAAAATTAAAAATCCCAGGACTCAGCAGACTTTAGCTGCATGAGTCATGAAAGCAGGACCATGGTGTGGGATTTGTGCTGTGTCCTGCACCTGGGTAGGACCAACCCCTCAAGGCATATCCAACTGAAGGTGTGGTCAGAGCTGGGGAGGACAGGTGCATGTGAAAAGGAAAACAGGAGCCCTGGGACTCTTCAGTGCACTAGTAAGTTTTCCCTTAGGGTCAAGTTCAAACCTTCCCTTTGAAGGCCTCCCATTTATGTCTGCCACCTCTCCTGCCTCCGAGAATGCCTAGCCCTTGGATGGGTGCCTTTGTTCAGGTGGTGAAGTCAGGAATGGCCATGACCTCACACAGGATTTGTATTCACTACAGTGTCTGGGGCCCCTTTGCAGACAAAGTTCCCCCAAATAATAGGAAAATCCCTTCCAGGTTTAAATACCTGATGGGTGTTCTGTTGAAATATAACTGTTACCTTATCTCTGACCTGGACTAGAAATGAGCCAGCAGGTATCAGAACCTGATCCAGGTTAGAGGCCTTGTGAGAGCTTTCTGTGCTGCTTCCCTGAGTCTCACCGCAGCCCAAGGGCTGGCTCTCCGTACAAACATGGAAAGGAAGGCTCAGGAAGAAAGTTCTGGTAGCTTGCGACCAGACACCTGGAGCTGTGGAGCCAGGGTCAGATGCCAGTCTGTCTGACCACAAAGGTCTACCCTCTCTTAGATGGGGGCTGTGAAGACTGAGAAAGAAGAGCTCGTTTTGACCTCGGCCATTTGCTGGTTCTCTGGGCTCAGCTCTCAAGTACTTCGTGCTCTGCAGGTTTCTCTCCAAGCTGTGGAAGGTTCGGTTGGAGTTGGATGCTAGGACTTAGGGTGGGTCCCTCTGGCTCTTGGAAGAAAGGGCACATGACTCTTAAATGGGCATGTCATCAGCATCCCAGAGGTGCTTCTTCAATTTTTGGACCATCTTTATGGGGCAACTGAGTTTCCTATTTCCTTCAAGCAAAGCGATTCTGACAAACCAGGGTTTGGTGCATTGTGCCAGCTCCCTCAGCTGAAAGATAGCAGAGGCCCAGCTGAGGTGAGAAGTCCAGAGGGTTCTTTGTTGGCCAACAATACCATTCCAGAGCCCAAAGTCAACATCTGCTCCATGCTGAGCCACTGCCAGCTAGCCATAAGAGGGGTAGCGGTGGACACAGGCTTTATTTTCGCTCCCAGTCATTAGCGCTGGGTTTTGTTAAACA